CTCACACTCATTCTTCACTCACACTCACACTCACATTCACACTCACAATCATTCCCACTCTCACTCTCACTCACTCACACACGCTCACACTCACACACGCTCACACTCACATTCACACTCACACTCACTCTCCCACTCTCACTCTCACCCACACTCACTCACTCTCACTCACATCCACACGCACTCCCTCACACTTACTCTCACTCTCACTCACACACTCACTCACTCACACTCGCACTCGCACTCACACTCACACTCACTCTCACTCTCACTCTCACTCTCACCCTCACCCTCACCCTCACTCTCACTCTCACTCTCACTCACTCACACTCTCACTCTCACTCTTACACTCGCACTCACTCACTCACTCACTGACTGACTCACTCACTCACTCACTCACGCACTCACTCACTCACTCTCCCACTCTCCCACTCTCCTCCCACTCTCGGTCTCACTCACACTCACTCCCACTCTCACCCACAACCACCCACTTTCACTCACATCACTCTAGCCCACACTCACTCTCACCCACACTCACCCTCACTCATGCTCACCTCTCACTCACTCACACCCACACCCACACTCACTCTCACTCCTCACTCACACTCTCACTCTCACTCTCGCTCTCAAATTCGCACTCACTCTCACTCTCACGCACTCTCCCGCTCCCACCCACTCTCCGACTCTCACTCTCTCTCACTCCTCCCACCCTCACTCTCACTCACACTCACACTCGCACTCACTCACTCACCACCACCGCCACCGCCACCACGATCCCCACCTTCATCACCACCATCACCTCCCTGGACCCCAATGCGTGTAGACCTCTAGACTTTCTGCTTATAGACCTCACACACACACACACTACGACTACGACCCACTAAGACATAATGCCCTAGGACCCACTAGGGCCAGGACGGACTAGGACCAGTGTTGGGAAATGGTGGAAGCGCTTCATTGTTGCTGTTGATTTTTGACGTACGCGAATGATTGATATGATATGCATTGATATGCCACATGTCACATGTCATCTGTTGGACTTTCGCAACCAGTCAGTGGCAATGGTAATAACGGAACGCTTGATGTTGCGGGGTGTTGTTTTTACCGGCATAGGTCTTGAAGGAACTGTCGCACTATGACGAGAAGTAGCTGCGTAGCTAAGACCGTCGCTTGCGCTTGTGTTCTTTCCTTGTCATATCAGATCAAGTTTTGCGCTGCCTTCTTCACCCTGTTCCCTGGGGACCTAAGTCGTGCGCTGCACCGAAAAAGACATGAAATTTGCTCGGGTTGCTTCTGGTGCTTCGGAAAGAAGAGCTATAGCTTCTATACCGGAGAGCTGTGTTGCTAGCGTCGCGAAAAGAAACAGATGGCGAGCTTCGGAAAGGCCGGCGATACCATCCGCCAGGCGACGAAGGACAGCCCGGAGACACTGCAGCGCAGCCGTGCTTTGAAGGCTGAAGGTCTGATGGTTTGCGCCCTTGGCCGTGTGCACAATGTGGCAGGTGGAGCCAGCAAGCAGACGACTCGTTGGGCGCAGACTTGGTCAGGAATCAGCTGGTGGAGCTGCCTGGCGGATCGGTTGCGGAGGCTTTAGTGCATCCTACTTTGCTGGAGTCCGCGAAGGAGCTTATCGGATGAGATGATGAGATGATGACTTGTGACTTGAGCAGACTGAGAGCTTTAGCAGTGCTTGGCTGGTTGGACATAGCAAGGGCAGCCCGGGTAAGTCAGAACAAGTAAATGTCACAATGACTGTCACAATGTTGTGGCAGCGGTTTTGCAGTTGTGTTCTGTGGTAGCTTGACTGCCTGCTTGCACTTTAGGCGGCAAGCGGCTGAGGAGCGCTCGGCCAGAACTAGCACAATCTAAACTAAGCTAAGTGTCCACGAGCCCACTTTCATCACGAACATATTCCCATTGCGGCGGCGATCAGCGACTGACGCTACTCGAGAACCAGCGCACCGAGTGCAACGCACCGAGTGCAACCTATCTACTACTACCACCTCCACCACTACCGCCCAGCGCACCGAGTGCAACGCACCGAGTGCAACCTACTACTACTATTATATACTACTACTACAACTACTACTACTACAACTACTACTACTACTACTACTACCACTACCACTACCACTACCACTACCACTACCACTACCACTACTACTACTACTACTACTACTACTACTACTACTACTACTACTAC